TCCTTTTCGTTTTTTTCTTTGTTTTTGTGTTGGGGGAAAATATTGCTGGAGTTGCAAAGCAACGTGTGTACACACACACTTCTTAATGGTGAGAGTAATGGATTATGCAACATAATTGTGCACTGTTCAAAATACCAAAACTTTGGTAACAATATATCGGTTTACACAATGATCACTTGACAGGAAGCGAACAAGGGTTTCAGCCTGACGAAAGCTTGAGCCCTTATTATCCCACCGACCCTTTTTCAAGACAAAGACATGGGTTTTAGGTCAAAAGTATGTTATTTCATACACGTTGACGCCAGGGTTCAATTACCAACATGGCTACAAAATGTGGAACCAATTTCGTTGTGACAATGCTGGAATGTTGCGGCGTAAAACCCTTCTCTCTGAATCACCATTGCTTAGAGCTGGGTTTGTTTTATATGGCCACCCATGCAGATTCTGATGTGCAATTTTCAAAAGACAAAAAGAACAAAGCATACTCTTTGAGAGCGAACTCTCACACGAACATCACGGTTTTGTTATATTTGTACACGCCCCCAAACATAAAACATATTTGATTACCACTTCACAAGACATTATTGAAGTATATTATTGACATGAGGAAATGTGGAACTGTCAAGATAAAACAGTCATATTCTTGACCATTATTGCTGTTTTACAAGCCTGCTGTCACGATTTACACATTCTCCAATCGTTAGCATGGGATACTAAGCAATTAGTGTGCCTAACAGGTTTCGAGATATTTGCCTCTCCAACATTGCGACACGTTGAACACGCCAACTAATATATATAGTTCCGGAATGCAAATAATACCCCGCGTGGAGGCACAAATGTCAGGCTACAGTAGGATCATACTTTGGTGTTATTAGTGTCATGCCTACACCATGTAAACCGAGCTGGTATTTGTTACGTTGCTAGGACACCGCCAAGTGATCTGTGATTAATGGAATCCTACAAGGGACACTGTCACCCTTACAAAAACGAACAAATCGTTTCAATATTACCCAAAGGCGCAACAATGCAACAACGCAATATTTAATTTGTCATATTGTCGTTATGTCACATACAGGGCTTTGGATAATATCTGTGTATGGTACAAAGGGGAAACAATAGCTCAGTGCCACAGTTTTAAAGGTAAAATAATTCACGTTGTTACACTGTCGCCTAATCTAAAACGTGTCAAAAAAACCCATTAAAATGCGTAAAATAAAAAATTGGCAAAACGTTCACACTCCAGTGCTTTGGTTAATTTCGACATTTTTTGCTACGTTTTGTAAGGGGGACAAAGCGACAATGCGACAATGTCCCTTCTAGGATGCCATAGTAATGTCCATACGAGATTCACCTGACAGAGTATGAATAAGCACTACATTAGTTTCCAAAACGACCACGTTTCAAACAAAGGTGGGGACAATTCAATGCTTACCAGCGTGTGCACAGCCAGGAAGGATGTACTCAGTATAGTTGATAGTTATTAATATATTCCTGCCATGCTGCCGTACATTCCGATACAACGGTACCATCGTGCTGGCACAACGATGATATGTAATGGGTCCCTCTGGTAGAATGTTGGCTGGCTTGTATGGTAAAGATTAAATGGATTTGGATATATATTAAAGGACATAAGAGTAGGTTTTGTTTGATGACTGGTATGTGTAAACATTTAGCGAGATGAGTCTGGATTAAATGAGGGTGTGGTATTGGTTGATGATGTTGGCTGGAAGGTGGTGAAGTGCTGTGAATTGTGTTTTATGTGGTTGATGGTGATTGCTTAGATGCTGAGGGTGTGGGGACTTGGTATAGTGCGTGAGTGAGTGAGTTTAGTTTTTATGACTCTTTGGCAATATTCCAGCAATATCATGGCGGGGAACACATTGTACCCAACTGGGGAATCGAAGCCGGGTCTTCGGCGTGATGAGAGAACACATTACCCACTAGGTTACCCCACAGTACCGGGTAGTGTTGAAGTATTAGTGTTGTTTCTTGTGATTGGTGGTTGAGATATGTGGCAGGGACTGATCTTGTATGGGTTGTAACACTGTTTCAGCAAAGTACGGACTCTAGTACTTTTGGGGGTTGAGTCCCATCCGAGATACTAACCCACACTTTCAGACTCAGGCATCTAATCGCCACAAAGTCAGCTATCTAACCCACTCAGCCATCGACTTCCACAAAAAAGGAAGTCCTACAACTATCATTCTAGAACACGTACCTTGTGTGCCCATCTGACAAGACTAAATCGGCTTGCCTCGTACGACCGAAAACTAAGAATACACCATGCCATTTAAAAAATGGTCAAGTGTAGCAGATGCCGTTTATGGGATTCCACTTTCTCAGTAAAGTGCAGATTCGAGTACATATTTAGGTTGAGGCTCAGAGTCAAGCACCTAATCGCAAGCGCACAAATGGAAATCTACTTCCTAAAACGACACCAGTGTAATTCTGTCTTATGTAGATATTCACACGATAACAAGAATAGCGGATTAAAGTCAGACTCCTTTTGGAATTAATATTCGTTTGAAATAGATAACTATCTTTCACTATGCGTTCAGTATGGAACGAAGATAATTTCAGTGTTCTACGATTGCTGAGTCAGAACTTTGGCAACATAGACAACCGAACCAGCTTGATCCTAATCCAATAAAGACCATTCCAAGATTACAGCCTTCAGGACAGTCAGGTTGTGCCCATTGTAAACGTTGTCGACGTACTTGCTCTTGGCGATGAAATCACTTTACTCTGACAGTCTCGGAGACATCAGTTCACTGACCGTGACGTCCACTCACAGCGCCCCCCACGTCAAGTGCCTGTCTGCACTCTATGTGTAGACACTGTGAAATGAAGGACGTATCTTTTGTGGTACTAGCTTCTTGTGCCCCTGAAACTACCTCATCAACATATATACATATCTGCAGATACTGTTACAGCAAGTGTTATGTCTTCTTTTATATCTACCACATTTACTTACACCTGCTACAGCTGTTGCTGCTATTTTACCTACAAAGTAGACACAACGTGCCCCAACTAAACATGAACACAACACATACTTAACGTACACATTTATGAATATTTAACACATCAAGTATATTTTCTGAATGCATCCTCTAGAATTTCAAAATGGAATGTGTCCCATGAGACAAAAAGCCCTCCGGATAACACCTTCAAGTATGGCACTTGCTAGAATGCCAAAAAGACGTGTAATAAAATTGCTCTTGCTCCTGCACGCAAGACTTCCCGACGTCGGATATTGCCTCATCATCACGTTACAAAGCCAGATGTCTGTGGATGGTAATTGTGTCAGTCACAATCTCCCGGATACACGCGATGTTATGTCGAGATGAAATTATATACATACTTAGTTGACGTCCAGTTCAGGTTCTCTGCTGACAGCAATATATGAAATTAGACATTTTAATCTGACGAGATTCAGTCTGAAGATTGGTTTAATAACCAGCTCGAAGGACATCTCATATACACCTGGCAGCAACGGATCGACTTTATGTCTGTGACGCTTGTTTAGATGATAGCACTTCTCCGCGAATTGGTTCGGTCAGGTAGCACAGTGGAGAAACCGTTTGCTTGTTACGAGACCCGTATACTCCACATGGGTAGGTTGAGTTTTACGCCGCGTTTAGCAATATTCCCGCAATATCACGGCGGGGGACACCAGAAATTGTTTGACAAATTGTGTGGAATCGACACCTGGTCCTCGGCGTGACGAGCGAATGCTTTAGCCACGAGGTTACCCCACCATCCCTTTACCACTTTAATACAGTGTTTGAAGGCCTGTCATTCCGTTCCTTGTCGGGATCATGGTGGAATATTGCTGAAAATGCACTCTTTTTTATTTAAACATGCGAAGAATCATATCTCTGTATTGTCAATGTTTGATAAACGCATTAATCCCTTAAGAATTTTGGTCGGCAGCTAACCATTGCCTGAGTCTAGAGTTTTACATCAAAGTCTCTTTTCACCCTTGCCATTTCAAAGCAACGTCTCTGAGCTGAACATGCAATCATTACCAGACACACCGATGGTTCATTTTTGAACATTTGACGCAATCGACACCCGGTTACAACCCCTGTGTTCGAAATAGCTACTGGCCCCCTAGCCAAATCATAGGCGGATCCAGAGGGAGGGGGGTGGGGGGAGGCTTAAAGTTTGTTAAATGACCATTGAAACGCTCGTGAAAACTTATTCTGGTTCGCTGTAACCGTAGTTTGCTCTGCACATTTCGACTAAAATAGACAGCAAGTAGCCGAGACTAAAATATGATTCGTCATTCTGTTCTGTAACACCCGTGAAGGTCCTGGTTAGAATATTGGCCTTCAGTAAAACCATACTCACTTGGTCGCTCAATCACTCACTCACTCATTCACCTGGCATGGACGTCATCTTTCTGGAGATATTCATAAATAAGAACAGTTATCTCACTGGATGTCGCGTTTCACCACATGAAACAGTGAGTGAGTGAGTTTAGTTTTACGCCACACTCAGCAATATTCCAGCTATATGGCGGCTGTCTGTAAGTAATCGAGTCTGGACCAGACAATCCAGTCAGCGAACCTGACCATCCAATAACGTCAGTCGCTTCTCACAAGCATGAGTTGCTGAAGACCAGTTGGAGTTGATCTGAGATGGCGTGTCTCATTTGTAGGGCTTACGTCCCTTGCACTTGTCAGGATCTGGAGGTCCATGATTCAGCTCGACACAAGGAGCATCATCATCATCAAAGGAAAGCCCGCAGGTCTCAGACCATTTATGAGTGGGTGTGTGGGCGAGTGAATGATCAAGTGAGTGAGTGACTGTGAGTGAGTGAGTGACTGTGAGTGAGTGAGTGAGTGAGTGAGAGAGAGTATAGTTTTACGCCGTTTTGGCAATATTACAGTAATGGGCTTCACACATTGCACCCATGTGGGGAATCGAACCGGGGTTCTCGACGTTACGAGCGAACGCTTTAAAGAACCACCACTCTACTGGAATGATAACTTCAATTGACGTAAATATTTTATTGCAGAACATACATTCAGTCACACATGTATTATTTGCTGCTCATGGTATATCACTTAAACAAGTTATTGTTCATATTTTGGACGAAGCTCACATCAAGGAGCCGGGCTTCATGTTCAGTCAGTCGAACTGCCGCACAGCGTAGAAGCCTCACTATCACTCGACCACGCATGCGCAAGGCTTTCTTCATCTTCTGAGACTTCGTACCTGAAAATGACAATTTGAGGAACTCATTAATTTATTATTCAAGCCAGAACGAAAAATAAGGAGAAATTTTATCGTATCGCGCGATGCCATTTGGATTTAACTACATCTTGAATTGAACATTCGGATAAATGATGAAAGCAAACTCTTGTCACTGACTCAAAGTACTACTGCTGACCTTGACCCTTGACCTCATAAATATGCATGTGTGGCGTAGTCCATTATATTACAGGAGTGACGGGAGCAATTCAAATATGTCTCTGACTGAGTTTAGTTTTACGCCGCTTTTAGCAATATTCCAGCAATATCACGGCGGGGGACACCAGAAATGGGCTTAACACATTGTGCCCATGTGGGGGAATCGAACCTGGGTCTTCGGCGTGACGAGCCAACGCTTTAACCACTAGGCTACCCCACCGCCCCAATTCAAATATGTGATACTGTTAAAAGACAAGTGCAATTGGTCCTGCTGTAGTAAGAACCAAAACGCAAGTTGGAAGTTTAGTGCGTATATGTCATTATATGTCGGAGCGGTGGGGTAGCCTAGTGGTTAAAGCTTTCGCTCGTCACGCCGAAGGCCCGGGTTCGATTCCCCGAATGGACACAATGTGTGAAGCCCGTTTCTAGTTTTCCCCGCCGTGACGTTGCTGGAATATTTCTAAAACTGGCGTAAAACAAAGTTCACTCACTCATGATATATCACATAACCTATGAGGGTAGAACAGTTATCGGTAATAAGTTTCAGATATTTGCATAAGTGAATTTTTTTGTATCCATGCTCATTGGTCGACTGAAGTCATGACGTTATTGTGCTTTATTGTTGAGAAACATATTACATATAACTGACTCTTCTAAACCCACCATGTATATTTCATAAGTTGTATGCTTCTCTCGAGGGTAATACGGTCTGATGTACTGCCTTTGTAGCAGTGTCACCCGAGCCAGTAGGCGAGGGATGACACTGCTACAAAGAGGCGGACATCAGACCGTATTACCCGAGGGAGAAGTGTACGATGTCTTTATCTTACCGCCATGTTAAATGTACAAAATGTCATTTCAGTTTATTTAAGAAGATATTTTGAAGCTCGCTACCGACTTTAAACAAAATGGCGTCTGCCGCTCGACTGGATTTTCAAAATCAGTGAAACATATTCTAACAAGCTTTAAACTACTATAAAACTGGTTAAGTGTGTTTAAGTTGGGTGTGCAAACGATGCAATGTATAAAATAGTTTAGATAAAGCAGTGGAAGTCGGTAAAATAAATGTGCACATAGTGAACTCAAAAACAGCTAATCGAACGGTTTTGGACTCCGTGCACTGCATGCGTCATATTTAGGAGATAAACGTACTGTGTTTGGAAATTAGATGAATGTTAGACCGAATTGATAGTCTCTAAATTTCATTCGAAGCCGAACGCGTAGCGTGTGCCAGGATAGACACAAATAGTCTCACAAAAACGTGCATGTATGTCGCTTTTCGAGTCGAATGATCTTGACAGCGACGTTAGAACCCTTCTCACACCATCTAACCCTACAATCGAACAAATGCAGATTCGGCGAGATAATATTTACAATCAGGCTATATATATGGACCAATATTGATAATGCTGTTGAGATTGAGAGTTCAATAGTGAACACAGCAAAATTCAACGATCGTACGATAGGAGTGAGTGAGTATGGTTTTATGCCGCTTTAAGCATTATAATTCCAGCAACATCACGCCGGGGAACATCAGAAATGGGCTTCACATATTGTACCCATGTGGGGAATCGAACCCGAGTCTTCAGCGTGACGAGTGGACGCTTGAATCATTAGGCTAACCACCACCATAAGATGGATCGATTGATTGTGTTTTACGCCGCTTTTAGCAATATTCCAGCAATATCACGCCGGGGATACCAGAAATGGGCTTTACATATTGTACCCACGTGGGTATTCGAACCCGGGTCTTCGGCGTGACGAGCCAACGCTTGAACCTTTAAGCTTCCCACCGCCCAGTAAGAAAGGAAGAGTTTTCAGAAATATTTGGATAATCCAACTCTAGGAACGATGTTTATAACCTCATTAAAATAAAACTTCGCATACTTCAATATAAGTGGTTGCATAACACAAACCTAAATTTATCTACTGTTCATAAACATGCCAGTCAAACGACTGTTAGTCTGCAATTTTGAAATAAATGGCTTCCGTTTTCCACTTTTACATCCACGGCTTCAATGCCAGAATTATTTAAGTTTTCCACTTAAATCCGTGATACGCAACACGTCTATATTCGGCAGCCATGCATCTAAAATTGCATTTTCAAAAAGATTGAAGTACCCTATAAATGTCAGCCTGGCTGAATATTTATAGTTGAACGTTTTGATGTGTTGGTATTTCAAGCCCCGAAGACCTGTTGTCGACAGATCAACGCTCCTACGCTGGTATTAGCACTGACGTGCAACATACTCCCACACAAGCCTTTGAATTGTCTGAATAATCCCGTCTGTAATAATACCCCAAAGCCTGGACATCTGAAGACTTTCATTTCCACATATAACGGTGTGTAGGTTTCATTATACAAAGCGTACCTGCATGTGAGTGAGTGAGTTTAGTTTTACGCCGCTTTTAGCAATATTCCAGCAACGGACACAAGAAATGGACTTCACACATTGTACCCATGTCGGGAATCGAACCCGGGTCTTCGGCGTGACGAGCGAACGTTTTAACTACTAGGCAAACCGAAACATGAGTCTCATTAACCTATTCAAACAATGACCTACTTTTCAGCCGATCCAAATTTTCTCGTGTGAAAGTGAAAATAGACATCACAAACAACTATGGTTACACCGAATTCCAATTTCTTGTTTCATAAGAAAATGGTATTTACAAATAAATTTTAATTTTAAACTTTAATAACATCGTATTTCTATATTTTATGGCGAGGTTGAGGCAGCATGAATTCACAGACTGCCTTTGTTTGATGAGGTCGTAACATGATTCACAATGATTCACTGGTTACACCGGTTATGTGTTTTTTTGCACTTATTCAGTGTAGTTCTGTAACGTACAATGTGATTCATATAATATCAAGTCCGTACCAGACCGCCAAACTTTTCTAGCTGGAAAGCCTCGTTTTAAGATTTCCACGATTTCCAGGTTTCCGTTTGTCAGAGATCGCTGTACGACAGAGCACGCTGCACGACGTGTTTGCAAGGATTAGAAGGAGCGTAGTGGTGCAATATACAAGTGCTTAGATGTATCAAATAGTACTGATTAATCATTATGTATCCAGTTAAATGAATTGGTCTCAAAATTCTGGACTGGTTATTGTACTAAGTTGCGCAATAGGACGGGACCCAGTCAACATGAATCGAGACTGTTCTCTCGTACGATGCTGTAATTATTATTTTCTTCTTACATAAACCAAAGGTGAATGGTATATAAAACACTCAAATTATGTACTGTTCTTTTTGTACATAAAAGTTTTATTCGAGATTTGAAACTGCAGTGGAGAAAAAGCTGAAGAATTGGGTTTGAAGTTGAATTTCTGCGTTGTTTGATCGATTTTAAGATTACACTGATTGGCAGCAACAAGAGTACAGGAGAAATGATACTAATAATTATAACTACTGCACGTGCACAGTAGTTATAAAAAAAACGTCTTCAGTTTCCATCCAAAAAGAAATATATACATGTACGCTAGACATGATGCAATTCGTGAAGTAAATATGTTGTGAAAAGATATCAAATACACCGTTCCTTCTTTTACAGTGAGTGAGCGAGTTTAGTTTTACTCCGCTTTTAGCAATATTCCGGCAGGACACCTAAAAAACAGTTTCACACATTGTATCCATGAGGGGAATCGAACCCGGGTCTTCGACGTGACGAGCGAACGCTTTAACCACTAGTCAGGCTGGCTGACTTGGTTCACACATGTCATCGTATCCCAACTGCGTAGATTTATTTTTATTATAGGATATTTATACAGCGCACATATCCACGCACTAGTGCATGCTCAAGGCGCTGGTATGTTTTCCCTCGATCATTAATTTGGATGTCAATATCAACTGCACATCGTTTTAGCAATCTCAACTTCCTGGGGAGTATACAACTCTTGCTGCCACTAGGCGCACCGAGTTATTGTGGCTTTCTCATCCTAACGAGGTACCCATTCACAGCTGGGTGGACTGGGACACATAGTCACAGCACTATGTCCATCGATGTTCATGCTGTTGATCACTGGATTGTCTGGTTCAGACTCGATTATTTACAAACCATATAGCTGGAATATTGCTGAGTGCTGCTTAACGCATAACCAAACCAAACCAAACCTTGTTTCTCATAAAGTATCAATTATCTCTGTGGTCGTTAATTCATTAAAATAAGTATATCCTTTGATTCATATGAGGTTTATAGATGTAACAGAAACGTTTTCCCTTATCAGACAACCTCACGGTGACCTCTTTCATCTTGAGCTGAACAAAATGTCACTATACTATTGAAAACGATTAAATTCAGGTAATCGGTCACATCAATTCTGAGTTATGTTAATCGACTGCACATGTTACGAGTGTTACGGAGTCTTCTACTAATAGGGTAATGAGGAACGAAAGTTATTGTTTTATTCCAGAAAGAAAATAATGGCATCACTATAGTAGAGGATCTCGTTACAAAACCATCGACAGATGTAAAACAGAAAACATTAAGCATCCATTTTCGTACGTCATTATCTGTGAAGGTCGAGGGACTGGGACATCTTACATGCTGAGTATAACAGAGAAGGCAAATGAACCCACAGCAGTCAAATAGCTGTTGCCTTGGTGTAGTTACAGTAGTCAAATAGCTATTGCCTTGGTGCAGTTACATTAGTCAAATAGCTATTGCCTTGGTGCAGTTACAGTAGTCAAATAGCTATTGCCTTGGTGTAGTTACAGTAGTCAAATAGCTATTGCCTTGGTGTAGTTACAGTAGTCAAATAGCTATTGCCTTGGTGTAGTTACAGTAGTGTAGTTACAGTAGTC